TCATTGAAAATTTCGACCATCGCATGGACGTCTGTAAATCCAGTCGTGGTGAACATTTGAGCAATATTATTTTTCATACATAAATGGTATAAATGAACGTTCAAAATAATGTACCCAACTTGATTTGAATATCAATCTTTCTTGTTTTAATATGCGTTTACTTTCCTGCGTCCGTTTTGGACAACCCCATATATATATAGATTAGATACTAATGCTAGATTTTAAAAAAATATTATTGGGATTGATCCCGGGATTTGCTTTTTTATCCCGGGATTTCCCCGATCCCGAAAATGGGAAACCCTGCTACGTACATAAGAGATAGCTGCTATGCCAAGATCGAAAAAGCATGTGAAAGTAGGTCCAGTAACGGCGACTTGATGGGCGAAAAACGGAAAAAAATTTTAGGGGACAAAAATTGGAGGCTGGGGCTTGTAGCGAAGTTATGTCATTTTCTTGACAGCAGTAAATTTATACTCTTAAAACCCTGGTAACTTAGCGCAAGTATTAGTGCATATTTCATACATCATAGATTTCGCCGTACATTTGATCTTAAGACATAAATATTTGCAGACGCGACACGCAGTCGGTTAGGTCGATGGCAACTTTCATGCACCAAGTTCTGTATGCGGCTGACTGCATCACCGGCATCCTCATACTCAAGTCATACTATCGTGGCTGGCGCTTACGACGTGTTTGACAGGTGCGGTTCAGCATCGTTGCCACATGGTCGATACTTTGGGTAGGGAAGCAACTAACGTTAGCGTCAACAAAGGCGTGGGGACTATCTAGCATGTGCCTGTTTGGCGTACTTGGTTCAATTAATTTCTTGTTACACATGTTTTTAGCTAGCTGTGCAGAACTTAATCCTCTATGAACTGATGACAGCGTTGCGTGAAAAATGCAGAGGCAACCTACTTGATGCCATATGCTACTTGATAAATCGGAAGTTTTTGAAAACGAGTGGGACACGAATGATATCTCGACCTGCGTAGCATCTTCTATCTTTATCGCACATCGCACACTATCATAGGCAGCGTCCGTACACTATTTACAACTTCGTGATTGCGTCAGCTTCATCTAACAGGTGGACGTTAAGGAAAGTATCAGATATGCTATATTTAAAAGTCTAATAATAATAATTGTAAATGCTATAGTTGGTATTGAAAAAATCTATACATACCTCAGTGGAGAAGGCCACTACTATTGCGAATAATGACATCTCTTGGCCAAGGTGTGCAATGCTAGTATTATATTTTTCAGTCTGCTTTGTCATTAATTGCTGTGTGTTAGCATTAATGAAGGCTAAGTTGATTCAAAAAATTAGTAAAGCGCAGGAGGTTGGAGACGACATCAATGAGATTGACTGCCAATGCTCCTTCCCTGCAGCCTAACCCCAATAACGGATTATAACTCTGAATGCTTGCATGCGAAGCTCTGGATCGGATTTACCTATCGTCTAGCAAATGGAGGTCATCAATGTGGAACGGAAAAGGTATTGAAGCCAACACCGATCCTCGGAGCTGCGTTGATATTGTGAGACGAATAGGAAAACACACAACTAATACGGATAAGTTAAGATCATCTGCAATCCTCGCTTGGATTTCATGGGATGCCAGTTCACAATTTTAGCTTTACTTTCCAACTGGTTAGGCAAAGCATTAGGCAGTACAAAAAGCAGTGTTGCGGTATTCAGAGACAACGGTTAATATAATTGAATGTACTCGTATATTTGGATCCGAGGTTAAACCTTTGATGTATATTTATTGTTATGCAGTGCAACAATCATCGTGTTCTGTATGGCATACACAGATGCCCAGAAACGATTATAATAATTCACAAACCAATTTAAGGTGTTACAATCCTATAATCATGATACCAACAATTTACTTGTCCCCTCCCCACCTCTAAAGCTGAGACCACACCGGCAGTGGTAAGCTGAGTGACAGGATAACATGTCAGGCGGAAATGAAAGGTGCTAGGATATCACCACACTACTTAGGATTTTAAGTGGTCAGATAAGGTACTACAAAGATAACGAAACTTTTGATACATGTATATGCTTGAAAATTTGTCACTTAGAAAAATCTTAGCTGAGATTTTTGCAATGTGTCATGCTTTTGCTCATCCTGGACCAATGTCAAGAGCGCTAATTGTAGGGTACTCAGCCTCAAGCTTTTTCCCGCACGAATTTGCAAGAATATCCGCGATACAATACGAAAATGAGTCGAGGCAATTTTTAAAGAAGCGACTGCGAATCGAGCCCACACATCCTGCCACGTAACGTCCGTTCAATCTCAGACACTCTTGGCCAATCTCTCACAACGCCGCCTATTAGGTTTCACGTATCTGTCGGTGTTGGTTGCGTTGTTGTACTGTTGGTTTTTGACTGCAAGAAAGTCCTATAAGTGCTGAGAGGGCCTGTGAAACATTGTTGAAGCATTGACGCGCTATTCAAAACCGCCGTGGGGACCTGCTGTATAACGGCGTCCATTAGCTCCACGGCAACGCGCAGGCCTCGCGCTGTGGCAAGAACACAGACGCAGCAAGATAAGCTTTCGTAGGGAATTACTTGATCTTTTACCACCAGACTTTCATCTTTTTCGCAAGCTTAAAGAGAGCGCTTGGAAAATGAATGCGTGTTAAAAGAAATAGTTACTAACTAATTCAACGGTTAATACTTTCGTATTATGTTTTTCGGATGTTGTATGACACATGCAACACAAAAAACGTGTATTTCTGTCTCAAGCTTCATTTCTGGGCGTTTCAAATGCTTCTGCCCATTTCCAAAGATTTATTGGAGGGACTGAAAATAGGGAGCGGGCTTGTAAATATTGAATCTCGGAATGAGTGGAAGGGGTCCATCACTAGGAATCTTTTGATACTGGTAACACCCTACAACAATTAGATATAATAGTTTATGAATTTGAATCCTGGATCCAAAATCTGTCTCCTTAAAGCCTACAGTCCGGTGTTGAATTTTTTAATAGCAAGAAACTCTCAGTAAATTGGAACAAAACATATGTTTTACCATTTACTTCTTATGAACCCCGCATGTCACAATATCAGAGGCTTTACATCAAGAATTTTACGGTAGCATCTCAAAGTAGCGTGAAGTATTTCGGTGTTGTACTAGATAGCCATCTGAGATGGTCAGAACATGTCAGCCTGACGGTTAAAACAATACGGAGCTTAGTCCCAAAATCCAAATTATTCTTTTCTATATTCAACCCGGATATTCTGAAATCTTTGTATTTTGCTTTGGTTCAATCTCATAGCACTTATGGTTTTCTTGTTTGCGGAAGTAATGCAGAAGTGGATACTTAAAATAATGTTTGGCAAACCAGGTAGGTATCTATTTGATGAGCTTTACAAAGAAGTGGGTATTTGATATCAGACAATTATTTTTCCAACAGCTAGCCACGTTTCAGCACTTTCATAAAGGTAACAGTACAATTAAAACTGCCAAAAATTTACAAAACTGTTGGCGTAAGAAGTCACAGGTACTTATGTCCCAAAGCTTTTAATCTCTTGCCCGAGCATATTAGGTGGATCAGTCAAAAACTTCTGTTCATGGAAGAAATTAAGTTGTAGATCTCAAGTACTCCTAGGCAAAACATACATAATATAATATCTGTGATGATTGTATAGGTCTCATAAATTTATTGAAACTGCTGTATACTTACTTTGTCTTTTTATCAATTTTTCTCTTTTCCTCTATTTTACCGAATTTTAATAACATTATATGTAAGGTATTAGATGACTATGCCAGGTTTTTTCTTAAAATGTAAAATTAACCGACTGTAGACGATTTTAACAAATTTATATGCTTGTTTTAATCATACATTTTCAAATTACCGATTATCGACTACCTTACCGATTTTATGACCAAATTTGTAAACCGATTTTAGTAGAACTGTCTTTAAGTGTGTGTGAACTATTTTATAGTGCAATGCGTGAGTGACTTTTATTTTACTAATATTAGCAATGGACTGGAAATTTAAAAAGATGTCCATACCATGATTAATGTTTTTGAAATTTGTACAAACCCACGCACAAGCTTGCTTCTGTGGGTTTCCTGTTTGTTTACCATTCTAAACTGTCTACGCTTTTATATCCAGTTTACAATATTATCGTTATTTTTGGTAAATAAGAAGAAGTGCTTATGACTACAACTGGGGATACTCATTTGCATATAAAGTTCTACTAGTGCCTTATTTGTTCTCCGGGATTCAAAGTATCTATCAAGATCTAGTGTAATCATTAATTAAACATTGCCACATTGGAGGTGAACAATCTGACAGCCTAGTTCCAAAGAGATAAGGTTGTTATGTACAGGAACGCCCGGGAAATATTTTTTCACTAAAAGCTCAATTAGTGCATTAATGGTGTTGACAAAGCCTACTTCTTCTTGATGGTACCATTTGTAGATTAGATTGCACTACATGGAAATTACCTCGTACGCTACTGCTAGCGGTAAAGTCGTTGAGCGCGGATCGCGCCATATTCAAAAACACGCCGCCTCAATAGTGGTGTACGATCTACCCTCCCGTTTTGGTACCAAACTATAAAAGCCTATCAGTAGGCATGGAAGGTGTATATTTAATCTACTGAAAGCTATTTTTGGATTGCCGCAAGTTCGTACATGTCATTAGGCGACTCGCTTTTAAACGCACCTACCATTAGTTCTTCGTCTTACATCTTGTTATTGTTCATTTGCAACCAGTTTAATATTTCACTTCACACTTAAGTCAAACTGGCTCCGTGAGATAGATTTATTGTGACAATCAAGGCACCAAGCTTACTTCTCAGAGCGCGGTGTGGTTGTGTAGCGGTGTTTGTTCGCGTGTGACCTCAGCCTAAGCAGTTAATGGGCTGATTTACCAGGTGTGAGGCTGTGTGCTGTACAGTGTGATGTCCCTTTGTAGCGTATATTATTATTGTATATAGATTAGAAGCGGACACATAAATAGGCTCCGGCACATTTGACAATAACCAGTGGGTAGATAGTAACGATGATTTACTGCTGGAGCAACATCGCGTTTGTGATTGTAGCGGCTGCTACGGTATCTGGTTACAGCTTCGATAACTCAGAGTTCAGTGAGTATCAACGTGCTTATTGTTGCATCAATTGAACAATATAAAAAAATTGTTTTTAGTAGCATTTCACACGTTTGTTACGATTTAATTGCATCCCGAAAGCGGAGTGTACCTTCCTAAAGGCCTTTGATGCGCTGATTTCGGATCCGTGGTGCAGATCTCTTAATTTGCTCTAGTTTCCAAGTTAGTCTGACCTGAAAGTTAAGAAATACCCTCCTTTTTTGCTGAGCTATGGAACTTTGAAGTTTTCATTTTTCCAATCTAAATCGGTTCAGCTTCTCTTTCAAGAAAGTGATTTTTAGATTTTTTATCGTGTTGATGATTTATGATTTGTTGTTGTCAGCAGGTCTTATTTCTTGACAATATATCAGCTTGTTATTAAATTTTTGGTGTATTATAACCACAAACTTGATGTACACGCAATCATAACGTGTAGAGTATCAAATATAGTAAAATTCTGAAAAATGAAAATTTCAGCGCAAAAAAGAAGATATGTACTTGAGATGAAAAAAAAAAATAGTTTGCATGCTGCTTGATTTTGATTAGGAATTCAATGCATCAAGAACCTTCAGGTATCTAGGGAAAACCTTGTCGGCCTGTGTTATCAGCACCTTTTTTGGAATGCTAGCGGTCGCAGCAAATATTTTAACAAACTTTGAAGAAGTATATGGTGAAGAAACAATATTAAGTCTCGGGTTTCACAATAGATGGTATGCTGATAAAGTGTTTAGCAAAAAGCAGGTCTTTTTGATACAGTAAATCGCTCTTGTGTATTTGTGAGTACGTTCCAACACTAGAATTCATCGATAGTGGCTAAAGACCCCACAGGAACTTTTCAGGGAATGACATACCGATATTTTCGGAAAAAAGTTTAGTATGTTGTCTTATTTTCCCAAATTGTTTCCGTGAGTAGTTTCCAGATACAGGGTCTTCAAGTTACGCGTGGCGTATCCTGTTACAGCGTATTGTTGGTTTCAGTACACGGTATGTAATATTTTTTCTGCTATTCATTTACGTCCTTATCATCATCCCTACTTTTGTATCATATGTATGTGGTGCCGAACTATAAATTGACTTTCTTATATGATCTTTTAAAAGAAAGTTGTATAAAAAAAGTTATTATACCCGAAAACAGTGTGCAATATTCTACCAGCGGTTTCTGGAGCTTAAAATAGGAAGAAAAGTTTATATAAACATAGGTCGACAAACGCATGCATGTTATGGAAGTTGAAAGCACCATTCCTAGTAAATATTGACTCATCCGACCATAATATTCTAGGAATAGTGTTTTCATTTGCTAATATCCACTGGAAAAACTCGATTCGTGGTAAAAAATTTGCCTCCGTTAAATGCTGCACCCGTTTAAAATGATAAGGATGTAATCCTTGCATTCTTGTCATTCTTTTTATCTAAAATTGTCATTTTTAGGATCACTATTAAATAGGTATTCATAAATTTTTCTTACCATTGATCGAGGTATATCCATATTTTCTGAAACATTTCGTATGCTTATTTGCGGATTATTTTCAAACATATTTAAAGCAATATCCATACGATGATTTTCCAGTGGCCTTCCTGAGTCCTGCATGCGCTGAAAGCTTCCATGGTTTGACGAATTCCGATGAATACCAGTAAACATTCGACGTCCAGGTACTATGCGATTGGGAAATCTTCTTTGATATTCTCTTACGGCTGCCAATGAGCTGCCATTGCAAAATGCATGTCACTGAGTCCTCTGTCTATAAATCTTGGCATTTTAAATCGATTTAATAAAACTTTTGATTTTAATCTAGTAATTTTACACTGCTAACAATGTCAGCTTAACGTCAAAATAAGTCATAACAAATCAAAACAACTTTTGTTTGCAGTCATGGCTAACTATGTATAATCAACAATTCATTTAAATTCGCAGTACATTTCCTATCATGTGACAAATTCTTTAGTTTGATTTTATTCAAAAAATGGCACAATTTATCGATATTTAATAAGAGTACCTTTTTTATGTAGAAAACCCTAAATCTTCAATTTCTAAAATTGAATTTCAAAAATAGAATCACACAAAAATTTTGGGGCTCAAATAACCTGAGTCCATCCCTGTTACATCCGCTTCCAAACAAAACTGTCTTAAATTGTTAATATTTTTAAATTCAGCATAAAAAACTAGGGTAGAGTACCAAATTTTGTGTCTTTATCTCAACACGTTTCTGAAATATTAAGGAAAAACCATCTTCAGGGGAGCCCCCTTAAAAGACCGTAGCGCCCTTAGGGGACGTTTGTCGACCTATATTTATATAAACTTTTCTAAGCTCTAGAAACCGCTGGTAGAATATTGCACACTTTTTTCATATGAGGCTTTTTCATGCATTTTTGTATAGAAACGTGCTACCGGATAAAGTTTTAAGTGGACCAGCCTGTATCAAGGGTCTTTTTACTGTTGCAAAATATATGGCTTAAAGTTTGTATCGTTGCTCATGTGTATCCGAGTTTGAAACAGTTTACGTCAATTTACTTTAAAGCCCGAATACATAGGTATGACTAAACGACACTCAAGCTTCAAGTTTTTGACTAAAGTAACATTCAACAAACCATTTACATTTGAAATCAGAGAAGCAACTATTATTACCACTGAAGGTTTTTTAAAAACATTAACGAAAGCACATTTCCGAGACACCTGGCATCTAAAAGGAATATTACATGAAAAACTTCACATTAGACCCTGTAACTTTTGTATACAATTTTTTCTACTAGAAGGTCATATAAAAAAGTTAAATGAGAATCAACTAGTAGCCGGACATTTTCTACAGGGCTCAAACCTAAATGGACAGAGTATTGCTCTAAGACAACTTTTTCAACATCTGTACAGAATTATCCTGCAAGTATTTGTGAATACCCTTCAAAAAAGTACAGGATTTTACAGGATGTCGCACAGTAGCGCTGAATTTAAAAGTTGTTTCTTGAAGATATCTCCCTAAATCGAGGTTCTTTCTCGATATATTACGCTTTATATAAGAGACATGAAAGTATGTTGTAATTGCATATATATATATACAGGGTGGCCCATCCAGGTGTCCAAATAATTACGCACACTGTTATGATAATGCGCGGGTGCGCCGTCATGTTGGAAGTACGTATGCATTTGAGTTTGCAGGTTGACATCCTCCAAAAGCAAAGGCAAATGCTCGATCAAAAAATTCAAGTATTCTGTACTTGTTAATCCGTTGTCGAAAAAAAGGCTTGATAACTTGTCTGCCAATAAATCATCCCCAAACGTTCTAGCTCGATTTATTTTGGAAATCTATTTGCCTAACCCAGTAAGGGAGATACGTAATAAAGATATCTATCAAAAAAGCAACTTTGTTATCCAGTTTGCGTCTCCGAAGAATACTCTCAGCACCATGAAGAGAAAGAGGCAATTTCATGTCAAGCATTTGCGATTATAAATTGGCTCATAGAAATACTGTCACAATTTTGTAGATTACCCTATGTATACTCGTGTATATCAGGGTAGCAAATGTTTTCCTGGCTCTCTAGTGGTATTGAAGCGACACTTTGATATTTTCTCTCCTCTCAATTAGCAACTTAGTTGATGTATATAATATAGTTTTTTTATATGCGTATGTGGGGAAACACTGTGATACCGACATTTATAAAAATAATGTAGCTTTTTCGCATTCAAAGTCACTAATCTCCACGACCTTGTGTTTATCAATTCATCTGTAAGGGCTTAGTTTTTGTTAGCGCAATAACAACTGCATCGATTACTGTATAATGAGAGGTTTTGTGACACGGGATCGTGTAGTTAATGTGATTTTAACTTTGATAAGCTGTAAACTGGTGGCAGTATGATTAGCAAAAAAGCACGAAAAGCTGAACTTTGATTTTTGCTTTATAGGCGTTGATTTTATCACGTAATTGGTAAAAGTTTCAAGTTACCATGTTTCCGTATAAGTTTTTGATTATCTCGTGAAGCGTTGTTAAACTTGTTTCACGATATAACTAGTCACCAGAATCGGTGGCGTCTAGCGGCCATAGTGGTGACCCAGCGACCAATGGAATACAGTTCCAACAGACAACTTGCTGTTTTCACTTTCGCAGTGATCGATTCTGGTAATAGATGGCACTTTGTGCTGTCTTATTAGAATAATCCATATACTCAAAATAGACCTGAGGAGTTTCCAGGGAGCATGAAACAGCTGTCCATGGTTGGCAGTCTGTATTAAGCTATAATTCAAGCTTACGCAGGCGGTTCAATACGTACCCGTGGTAGAAACGAAGACACCATTTTTTCCAAAAAGATTCTTTTCATTTTTCAACATAACCTTTTTAGAAAGATACACTCCCCCCCCCCAAAAAAAAAATGGGATTTGTCGAACCCTCCAAAATACGCTTCTGTCTCGGCAGTGACTTCCTCGTTTGAGGTAATTTTTTTCCCCGCGAGCCATTTCTTTATGTTAGGGAACAAGAAAAAGTTGCAGGAGGCCAGATCGGGTGAATACGGTGGGTGCGGCACCACTTCATAGCGCAATTCATGCAGTTTGGCGGCGACAACTCCGGTTGAATGTGCTGGTGCGTCATCGTGGTGAAGCAGCACCTTCTTTTTCGTCAAATGTGGCCGTGTTTCCTTCAGTTATTTGACGAAGCGGACCAATAACTCAGTATAGTATTGACCAGTGATCGTTCTTCCTTTTTCAAAAAAATCGTCGCAATGACCTTTCCGACCGATTGGACCGTCTTCGCCTTCTCTGGAGCAGATTCACCGGGACAAGTCCATTGTTTTGATTGTTGCTTAGTTACTGGTTTGTAATGATGAATCCAGGTTTCATCGACGGTGACAACTCGATGGAAAAACTCCTTGGGATTTTGAATTGCTCCAAACACTGCTTCGAAGTTAACAGCCGCATCCGCTTGTTGTCCACCGTGAGCAATCGCGGCACCCATCGAACAGACAATTTTTTCATAAATAATATTATGAAACATATTGATTGCCGTTCCGGTCGACA